TGGCATCTGAGCATGGATATAAAGTCATCGGGTAGATTTCAATGGTAATGTTTTTCACATCTACTAATTATTGAGAAAATTTTTATGCTTTGAAGAATTATTGTTTTTTTAATTTAATAACCACATGATTAGAAGAAGCATTTCAATACAGCTTTAACATATTCAGTAACACACTCCAGAGCAAGAATACATCTCTTTCAAAAGTGGCTGTAAATTTTTAGGTTCACAGTTGAATTAATGCAGTTACACAATATTGAACTCAGTATAAACCCTGTAAGATAAAAAATTGAATGAGTTTTTACCCTTTAAAGAAGCTCTCCATTTCATTTTAAGGTCTACTGTTTCCTGCATTTTTAATGCTACTAACACTTAGATGTTTGCAAAGTGTCTTTAATCTCTATGTATCTGATGATTACTAGTCACAGTCGGTTACACTCAGATCCTTAGTACCTGAGTATGGATATAAAGTCATCAGGTAGACTACCAGGGAAGAATTTTTGACAGAGGACTCTGTGCTCCTTTCCTTCCCAAGGAAAGTATCACCATAAGAAACCTGGAGCTTCTGCCCACCAGACCGAGTGCCCTGAGAGCCGAGGACAATGCTTGTTTGTATTTATGTCCTCAGTTCTGTGCCTTGGCCCTAAACAGATGTTTTAAAAACAACTGTAGGACAGATGGGTTTGCAGAGTGCTTAGCATCCCTCTAAGTGCACCCAGGAATCTCCCAACATTTCTCAGCCTAGAACACAGAAGCTGCCACTACTCATACCAAGAACTGAAATGCCGCTTTTAAGTCAGTTTATGAAATTCTCTGCCCCGAATGATCTTTCTAAAACCCCAATACAACCAGGTCACTCTCCTATTAAGTTCCTCTACCAGCTCCTCCAGCTCCTCCCCACCTATATGAGTGTTTCTGTCCATGAACTGCTTTCCCACAGGCAGGACAAGTTTTCTTAGAGAACTCAAGAATAAGACTGAGATCCACTCCACTTCCTGTTCCATCAGCAACAATGCAATTGGCCTGACATCTATAATAAGCTAATAGGTTCCAAAATTCCATTTGAGAACTTCTGACCCATAGACTATAGTCCAAGCTCCCTAAGATGCCAACAAGGCCCTTTGGGGTTGGATCTGAGTTTCTCTTCCATTTCATTTTTTTAATCACCAATTTTATGCTTCATGCAATTTCAATCTTCCCTTTACACAGATTATCCCTTCTTGGAGTGTCTTTTCTGATTTGAATAACCTTATCTTCTCTACAAACTCCTGCTCATCACTTTTAATCATCCTCACATAGGTGTATCGTTTTCTCTGTCCTGTGTATTTCAATCCTTGCATTGCAATGTACGGGCATTGTAATGGCATATTTCTACAATCCCCATCCCCGAAGTCTCTAAGCCTTCCGAGAGTGAGAACCATGTCTCACCCATCAGTGTTCCCAGTATTTAGCCCAGTCTCTGACATGTGGTATTCACGTAAGAAATACTTCTTTAGCAATCTCGAATTCAGACATCCAGTTCCAAACAAGAAATGTGCTGAAATGTGATAAATAACAGTGTAACATAAGGAAGCCGGGCGTGGTGGCACACATCTGTCATCCCAGCACTTGGGAGGCAGAGGCAGGCGGATCTTTGTGAGTTCAAGGCCAGTCTGGTCTACATAGTGAGCTCCAGCCCAGCTGGGGCCACAGGGAGACCCTGTCTCAAAAAGCCCCCCCCCCCAAAAAGTGTAACATAAGGGCATGAGGTGTCTCAGTCAGTAAACTGTTTGCCACACAAGCATGAGGACCTGAGTTCAGATCTCCAGTGGTCACATAAAAGCCAAGTACAATAGCACCTGCTTAAAATTCCAGTGCTGGAGAGGCAGAGACAGATTCCTAGAGGTCATGGTCAGCCAGCCTAGCAAAGTAATAACCTCTAAGTTCAGTGAGAGAACATATCTTAAAAAGTAAGGTAAAGAGGCTGGAGAGATGGCTCAGTCCTTAAGAGCACTGGCTGCTCTTGCCGAAGACCCAGGTTCAATTCCCAGCACCCACATGGTGGCTAACAACTGTCTCTAACTCCAGTTCCAGGGGATCCAACACCCTTTCCTGACCTCTGCGGGCATTGTACAACACGGGTGCACTTACACACATGCAAGCAATACTCCGACAGACGTAAAATAAAAATAACAAATACCACACACACACACACACACACACACACACACACACACGTGTAACCCAAAACAGAATATAAAACATGCAGGCCAGAGTACAAGAATATATCATTGTTCATTTAACAGCATCCCTGAAAGAGCCGTGCTAGTACCACCAGCCCCAGAGGTCAGCTCTTTCCATAGAAACAGTAAACCATGACCTCTAGACCACTCAACCCCCATTGTTCTAAATTCACAAGCACCAAGGTATCTTTCATGACTAATTTAATTTCCCAGGTACCTTGATAACAAAATGGAGTAGCTCTGGTATTTCGGTCAATGAAAATATGGGTTATCTCATGAGCTAATGAATGTACATTCTAGTTGACATACCCATGCCCTATGTGTTTGGTTCACATAAATCAGTTGTCAGAGCAGATTCAACAGTGCACCCAGGAATCTCCCAACATTTCTCTATGGATTTCACCACCCTATAGTGCTATCACCTGGCCCTGAGCAGACAGCCATCTTCTACTTCTTTCTCATTACCTTTTTCAGATCGTGTGTGTGTGTGTGTGTGTGTGTGTGGTATATGTGTATATATGGGTTCAGGTTTATACAGGAGTGCATATGGGTGTGCATGTGCATGTAAAGGCCTGGGGTCAGCTCTAAGTGTCTTCCTCAGTCTCTCTCCACCTTAGGTTTTGAGACAGGGCCCCTCACTGAACCTAGTGCTTACTCATTGGGCAAGAGTATCTGGCCAGTAAGCCCCACAGATTCTTGTATTCTCCCATTTCCCTCTCCCCTAGTACTGGTGTACAGAGGTATGCCACCACATCTGGCTTTTATATGGGTATTGGAAATTCAAACTCAGGTCCTCATGCTTACTCAGCAAGCACTTTGCCAACTAAACCATCTCTCCAGACCTCTCACTCCTTTTAAATACCATCTATTTCTGTATAACATGGCTGTAATTATATGGGGTTTTTTTCCTCTTGGTGTCTAGAGGCAAATATTGTCCTTCCCCATTTCGCCTGAGAAACAACTGAGGCTCAGAATAGCCCAGGAGCTGGTTCCAGGGCCTACTGAGCCTGAGAGCTATGAGTTAATCTTCTTTTCCTGCTCTTTAAATATCATAGTGGATAGCTGGTCATAGGGGTGCACGCCTTTAATCCCAGCACTTGGGAAGCATAGGCAGGCAGACCTCTTTGAGGTCAAGGCCAGCCTGGGCTATATAGTAAGGCTCTGTCTCCAAAAAACAAACAACAACAACAACAGCAAAAAAACCCATAGTGGATTAGATACAGGTACTGCAAATCAAATTTTTCCATTCTTTCCGTTTCTTCAAAATTCTTTCCAAACTTTCACATCAGTCCAGTCAGCAACACATCTGGTGAAGATATTTCTTCCAGATGAATGTATAGAGTTGCCTCAAAGTGGTGACATGGAAATTTCCAAAAGGGAGTTCCAAAACCATGCCATGTTGGGAGCAGGTCGAATTCCAAAGAAAGAAGCACCACCTGGCAAGGCAGGCGTTTGTTAGGGGGACTTACACAAAATGAGGGCTGCAGCATCCTGAGGAGCAGAGCGAGACAAGGGCTGTCCCACCTCAGTTAATCAACAAGATCTGGCTATCCCGTTTTAAATGAGAGCTTAAGAATTCGTTCCAGGGCAGAGGCCAGTTTCTACGTGTTTAGCAAAAGGATTAACTTCTATGGTGTTTTCAAGCAACAACCCGAACAAGTTTACCAGTGCTGGGGAATGTTTGAGGTTCAGGCCTGGAAGGAAAACACACAACCGGCTGGGTCATAGAGCAGTTAAGGCATCCTGTGCTCCATAGCCAGGACAGAAGTCTGGAAGAACTGGGAGACCCTAAGGAAGGGGTGGCTAGAGAGGAAGGACACAGCTCACCCTAATGACTTTTTGTATTACCCTTGTCCATCCGGAGCCTCCTCAATTTATACCCTGACTGACCGTGGAGACAGGAAGACATATCCTAATTAGAAGCTAAGAAAACTATCTTTAGAGAAGTTGAGTGACTTTTTCATGGTCTTGGAACCATAGGGAAGATGTTTGGACTTTTTGTTTTTTAAACAAGCACCTACTGAACTGACTAGAGTCCAACTTGCAATGTTACAATAGCCAGCTCATCACCATCATCATCACCATTGTCATTAAAAAAGGCACTTAGTGGGCGTTCACTATGGCTTAGCTAGTTCACCTTAGTCCTCACAATGATTCCCAGGAAGAAGATAATTATGCCTCTTTTAGAGCTACTGAAACTGTGGTATGTAACTTGTGCATTTTCATCTAACTAGTAAGTAGTGATGGTAAGATCCCAATGTCTGTGTTCTGTGTTCCTAGTACTACCTGACAAGTTGAATCTGCGTGTCAAGAGCAGCATTTCTTAAACAAACTTTGGCTGGTGGTCTGAAAGAGAGAGGAAGAGGGAAGCAGCAGATCTGACTCTCCATTAACCTCTGGGTTCTTTACATCCCCCTTCCTAGGCCAAAATCTGTATTTTGACTGCTGTAGTTGCTGATCCTTCATCACTGGGTGTTCCACATGAACAGTTCCTTTTCTATGTAGTGCTTTCCCATCTTCTCAGTGCCAAACACCTTCCCAACCTGCTCTTTCCAAGAAAGCCTTCTCAAATGAATAGAGCCTGGCAGTCAGTCCATTTCCCCTGCCTCTGGGAAAGAGCTTGTGCCCTGGGATTCCACCCTCATGAAATGCTGAACCCTCCTGCTCAGGTTCCTGGGTCTGAATTCCCCCAAAAGCCAGGTTTGTGTGTCTTCTTTCAGTCCCACAAAACAGCCACCCACCCTCTACCCCATCGTAAACAAAAGGCCTGAAACTAACAGAGAATTTCAAATGCACTTTATTGCGGAAAAACAAGGCAATGGGGAGTTTGAAAGCTCTCCACAAAAGACAAACAACTTGCATACACCTTATGTACAAAACCGAAGCAGCACAGAGCTTGCTGCAGAAGACAGGTTGCTGAAGGGCCAAAGCACTGGTCGCTCTGGGCAAAGCAGGCCTGGGTCTGACGTCCTCTGGCTGAATTACAAAGCTCTTTGAAATGTCACGTGGGTGGTGGTAATTGCTGAATCGTTTCTCAGGCCAAATTAAAAAACAAAAACAAAAACAAACCAGGGGTCCTCACCAGGGAACTCAGATTGCCACTAATCTGAAAACTTCTTTGAAGCTGAGCAGAAAAGAAAGCGAGGTGGGGGCGGGGTAGTCTGGACTGGCGCGATTAACCATAGCTCTGTTCTCCAATAGGGCTGGGGCAGTTGACAATGGTCTTGCCAGCCATATTAGGTCGTGATGGAAAGGGAGAGCTAATGGGATGGGGAGCACCGCTTATCTGGTCCCTCGGGAATAACTGGTGGAAATAAACTTCACACTAGAACTGCCCCCAGAGGACTTAACGCCCCCAGAGCTGGATCCCTGGGCTCCGGAGGAACTGTAGCTGCCTCCCGAGCTGCCACCGCCAGAACCACGGCCGCCAGAGCTGCCACCGCCCACTCCAGAGCCACCTCTGTGGCCCCCGCTGCTGCCGCCGGCTTTGCCATAGCCGCCGCCGCCGCCGCCGCCTCCGGAGCCGTAGCTGCCGCCTCCGCTGTAGCTGCCGCCGCCTCCGGAGCCGTAGCCGCCGCCTCCGGAGCCGTAGCCGCCGCCACTTCGGCTACTGCCTCCGCTCATGCTGGTGTGGCTGGTGCTCACCGCTGCAGAGAGACTCGGTGACCGTCCATCCCACTCCCACCCAGCCAAGCCTGCGTGAGCCCAGAGGAACCAGCCTGTACTTACACACGCTCACGTTGGCCGTGCACTCTCCGGACATCCTGCGGGAGACAAAGCAAACCCCTCAGGCCACTGCAGCGTCAGAAGCCCCCTCCCCGCGTTTTCTCCCGGCGCCTCCTACACTCTCCCCAATCCTCTCCACATGAAACCTGCTCCCAGACCTCCTGCTTCCCAAGCTTGGTTTTCTCAGCGCTAGTACTAAGAGGGGGAAAAAAATCTCTCTGCAAACCAAACTAGAGTCTTAGAGCCGATGAGGCACAGCTCTAAAGGCTGTCATAGCATGGAGTGGGGGGCAGGGATGGGGGGAGGCAAATAGAAGTAAGAGTGGAGAGGAAAGGAAAAGAAAAAGGTTGGGACTCTGGCTCCTAAGGTGAAAGTCGTTGCTCCCACCCCATGTGTGCTTCATTTTCCCAAACTCAAGACAAACCGCAGTCAGATAGACCGCAGTCAGATAGCAGTCAGATAGACCGCAGTCAGATCGATCGCAATCAGATAGATGGCTGTGTGGCCAATAGCTCCCAAGGAAGGGATCCCTAAGCTGGCGGGGTCCCTTCCTCACCTGCTCTCCTCTCCTTCCAGGAGAGTCCTGTAAGTGGCAATCTCCATGTCCAGGGCCAGCTTGGTGTTCATCAGCTCCTGGTAGTCACGCAGCAACCGGGCCAGGTCCTCCTTGGCCTGTGTCATGGCATCCTCCAGCTCATTTAGCTTGTTCTGGGCGTCTTTGAGGGCATTCTCACCACGCTGCTCAGCATCGCTTATGTTTTGCTGCAACTGAGCAATCTGAGAAAAGAGACCACAGTACATTACACCAGCACATGGTCCCTCACCCCAGGTTTGTCTTTTCTTCCTGTGTCTGTCTCTCCACCTTAGTGACCCTATACTCTAAGCCCACAGAGCCACTGGACCTCAGGTCACCCTTGCAGAGCATGACACCATGCTGACTTCCTTAAAAGACCTTTAAGAGTGGTTCAACGGTTTCTCTTGGGCCTGACTCAAGGCGCTGCCATCCTTTTGCCACATGCCAACTTTAAAACCTCTGGCTGCCTTTCCTCACTCCTCAGATCCTAATTCTGCTCCTATCATGGGCTAGGCCACTCATTCTAACCATTACCTCTTCACTACTAGGTCATTTGCACAAATTTCCCTCAAAAGAATCCCACATGAGAACTAAATTCTGGAAACAGACATAGTCCCCAAAAGAAATGGGGGAGAGTAATGCAGCCTTGGTAAGGACTGCAAGACTCAAAACCAGCACAGTTTCCCCCATTGCCTGAAGGTCATCCCCATTCCATGTAGCCGAGGGTACCTGCTTCTTGACACTGTCAATTTCAGATCGAAGTCTCTGGATCATCCTGTTCAGCTCAGAAATCTCCATCTTTGAGCTTTTCACACTGTCACCGTGTCTGCCAGCAGTGATCTGCAACTCTTCATACTAGGGATAATGGATTGTTTCAGTTAGATGCAGACAGAAGGCAGTATGAGTGGGCACACAGCATAAGAGTTAGCGTAAGACATAACACAAGACATCTCAGGGAGCTGGCTGAGCACGAGGCACTCACCTTGCTCTGGTAAAAGGTCTCAGCTTCATCCTTGCTCCTCTGGGCAATGCTATCATACTGGGCCTTGACCTCTGCGATGATGCCGTCCAAGTCCAGACTGCGGTTGTTATCCATGGACAGGATGACATTGGTTTCACTGATATGAGTCTGCATCTGAGACAATTCCTGTACGACATAATACTTCAGTGACTCTTACAGCATGAAAAGCCAACTCGGAGGGAGGAGTCTGGAGTTGGAAGGAACACTTCTATCCTGCAGGGCAATGGAGTCAAGACTCAAGGCTTTCCATTTAGGTAGCCTCGGCTGAAATTCAAGTGCTTACCGCCTGATAGAGTGCTGTGAAGAAGTCAATGTCCTTCTGCAAATTGTCCACCTTGGCTTGAAGGTCTACCTTGTTCATATAAGCAGAATCCACATCCTAGAGGAACAAATGATATCGTAAAGTCATGTGCTTTCTAGAATGGGCCCCTCTCTAGCCATAAAGGGGAGTTCCAAGTAGAAGTAGAGTTTGGGATCTTCTCCCTCTACTCTCCAGACAGATTACAGTTCCTAATTGTTCCATCTCTTCATACCAGAAAGCACACTTGACTTGCCGAGAACTTGCCTGCCTGCTTGCTATGGTGTTGAGAAATGTGCAGCAGTGTCTGGATTAGCACAGATCCATGAAAATGGGAGCAAACAATCTACCCAAATGTTGAGCAGGCAATCCACAACAGGCTTCTTTCTGCTCACACTTAGAGACCCTTGTTTATTACTTATTTCACAGATAAGCTTCACCCTATGAATTTGCTCACCTTCTTGATGGTCACAAATTCATTCTCTGCATTTGTCCTCTTGTTGATCTCATCCTCATACCTGCAGGAAAGTGATGAGGTAGTCAAAGGAGGCTGAGGTCTGAAGCTCAGTATTCTAGATTTAAGTAGCTAGAATATCAGTATCTATCAGTATTTAGTATCCGTGTCTGTCATTGCATCCCTTCATAAGCTAAGACATAAATTATATCCATCTTCTGAGAAATGAAGAGTTTTAAAAGTGTCCAATTGATTTGTCTCTAACTGAAGGAAAGCCATAGCTACATTGTAATTCATATTCTTAGCTTATCACTTTCTGAAAATCTTTTAGAAAAATAATCAACAAATGCCAGCCAGGTTTCCTTACTTGTTCCGATAATCTTCTACCATGTCTTGCATGTTCTTCAGTTCTGAATCCATCCGTGTTTGGTCACTCTTCAGTTGGTCCACATGTGATCTGAGGCTGCTGATATATGACTCAAAAAGGGGCTCCAAACTGTAGGTCCGAGTAGAGGTGTCCACCTGCTGCAGCAGCTCCCATTTGGTTTGCAGCACCTGGTTCTGCTGCTCCAGGAAGCGCACCTAGGACCAAAAACCCATTAATGACCCCAAGCCCAGGACTGGGGTCCAACAGCCACTGAGCAAGGCCAATGTCTCATTTGAAAAAGAACTTCAATTCCTATTTGACAGCAAGAGGCATAGGGAGAAGTTGATCAAGGTAACATCACCTTCAGAACAAAGCCCAACTCGTGGCTAATTGCGAGAAGCACTGAAGAGAAGTAGCTATGTAACACCAACAGCAAAGCACATGTAAAATTACCGCACATAAAATTACATGATATTAAAAAATTTGCCTTCCAATTTTTTTAGGTAGACAGCTTAATTACATTGCCTGGGTATATACATAATTCACAAGTATGTTGGGAAAATACCAAATTGGATTTGAATTTTATTTTTGATAACTTTAGATTGCCATTATTGATGACTTATCATAAAAGTTCAAAGTGACTCATAGTTTTCTAGAACTGATACTTGGAATATTCATATTAAAAACTATCCATACTGATCCAGTATTAATGGGACATTACCAGAGGCTGGAGCTCCCTCTGACAGCAGGTGTTTGGCACTGATGTATGCCATCCTTTCTGCTACATCACAGGGCATTCTCAACTACACCCTTTTTATGACCAGGAAGGCCCATCCAAGATTCTCATTTGCATCCTAGAAAGTTCCACTGGCCCTATTTCTATTATCCTCATTCAACAGCAATGAGTCCCAACTCAGTTCAAGAGCTCAATTAAAACAAAACAAAACAAAAACAAAAACAAACTAAATATCAAACAGACCATGTTTAGGTCCCTTTGTCCAAGAAAGAGCTTACTCATTAGCATCACTCCTGAGCATACTTTTGTGTCTCATAAGTCCATTCCACAAGATGTCTTTTTATTCATCAATGCAGACAATGTGGCTAAGCCCACCCATGTCTTGTTGCAAGCCTGCACGGGCAGCCCTCTCAGGGCTCTACGCAGATGAACTTACCTTGTCAATGAAGGAGGCAAATTGGTTGTTGAGTGACTTGATCTGCTCCCTTTCATGAGACTTTACTTTTTGAATCTCAGGGTCTATCTCCACATTGAGGGGTTGCAGAAGGCTCTGGTTGATGGTGACTTCCTGGATGCCACCAGGGGGGCAGACAGGCCCAAAACCACCCCCATATCCTCCACCACCAAAACCACCTCCACTGCCAAAACCACCACCACCAAAACCACCACCGCCCAAACCGCCACTGCCAAAACCACCACCAAAGCCACCACCACCACCACCAAAGCTGCCACCACCAAAACCACCGCTGCCGCCACCAAAGCTGCCACCACCAAAACTACTACGTCCACCTCTAGCCACACTCATGGAGATGCTCCTGCCACCTCCAAGGTTAACAAGACTCTGACTTCCAAAGCCACCACCAGCACCCCCACTTCGACAGAAGCCTCCTGAAAATCTCCCACCACCGCCTCCTCCACTGCGGCGCACAGAGCCACTAGTGGACCTGCGCTGGAAGCTGACTAGGCCTGCAGAGCCGGAGCTGAAGCCCCTGCCACTCCGGCACACGGACCTGGAACTACACTGTCGACTCATGATGGCTTAGAGAGAAGTGAGAGCAAAGACGAGAGAGGGAAGGAGCTGAGCACTCCTCTGACCTGAGCCCAGAGCTGTCCCCTTATATACTGGGAGGAAGTTGGGCTTGGTTCTCAGAGTCAGCGGAGATGCAGCACCTACAACGGGTTTGGCTTGCCTGCAGCCATACAAGATTTTTACGAGCCTCAACAATAAACACTACACACCTAGCTCCCAGGATGGGCTCTCAAAATTGCTGTGCTGACAAGATTGACTCGTGTGGTAATCATTTTATCAGACCAAATCTCTCTTCAAGCGTTCATGACTTTGAGAAACTAGGACCCCACATCAGTTCCCTAGTGTTTCTGGATAGGATTTCATAATTCCCTTCACAAAGGTAAACCAGCCTACACTCTCACCCTGCCCTTGTATGCTGCTAAACTCACAGGCTCACCATGAGCAGCAGCTGCGATGTCTCAGACTCGAATAGCAAAAGGAGCTCTCATCCATTTCTGAGATCCTTCCTCTAAACCCCAAAGTTCATCAAGTCACATCTCCTGACACAGATAAAGGCCTGAAGAGCTAAGAGTCAAATGTTTTATAAGCTTTTCCAAATGCATTCTACTGATTGATTAAAAGAAGTGCAATTGTCACTTGGATGGATAGGCACTCGAGAAGAAACCCAGGAGAACCACATGTTCATTTCTCTTCCTTTTCTTGAAAGACAAACCATGGCAGGAGGCAGATAGCAGAGCCCAAGAGTGAGGGCAACAACAGAAACAGGTGGTATGCAAATGCAAGTTGAGAAAGCCTGCGAGTGTTGGGATGAGTAGATACCTGGTACATTTGGTGAAGCAAAGCAGGGAGGTGAGGCATGGCAGGTTCAGGCTTCACCCTGGAACCAGGAGAGATGACTGTGGGTTTTGATGGAAATCTGGAAATGATGGTGATGGTGATGATGATGATGGTGATGGTGATGATGGTCATGGTGATGGTGGTGATGGTGATGGTGATGGTGGTGATGGTGATGATGATACTGCTCATGATAGTGGTTGTGGTGATGGTGGTAATGATGATGGTGGTGGTGGTGGTGATGATGATGGTATTGGTGATTATAGGTGATAGTTATGGTGATGATGATGGCGATGGTGATGATGATGATGATGTTGGTGATGATGATGATGGTGGTGATGATGGTGATGATGATGATGATGATGGTGGTGATGATGGTGATGATGGTGATGATGATGATGATGATGATGGATGATGGTGATGGTGATGATGGTGGTGATGATGATGATGATGATGATGGTGATGACGATGGTGATGATGGTGATGATGATGATGATGATGATGGTGGTGATGATGATGATGGTGATGATGGTGATGGTGATGATGGTGATGATGATGATGGTGGTGGTGATGATGGTGATGATGGTGATGGTGATGATGATGATGATGGTGATGATGGTGATGGTGATGATGGTGGTGGTGATGATGATGATGGTGATGATGATGGTGGTGATGATGATGATGGTGATGATGATGGTGGTGATGATGATGGTGATGATGGTGATGGTGATGATGATGATTATGGTGATGATGATGATGATGGTGATGATGATGGTGGTGATGATGATGGTGATGATGGTGATGATGATGGTGATGATGATGATGATGATGGTGATGGTGATGATGGTGATGATGGTGATGATGATGGTGATGATGGTGGTGGTGATGATGATGATGGTGATGGTGGTGATGGTGATGATGATGATGATGGATGATGGTGATGGTGATGATGGTGGTGATGATGATGATGATGATGATGGTGATGATCGTGATGGTGATGATGGTGATGATGATGATGGTGATGACGATGGTGATGATGATGATGATGGTGATGGTGATGGTGATGACGATGGTGATGATGATGATGATGGTGATGATGATGATGGTGATGACGATGGTGATGATGATGATGATGATGATGGTGATGGTGATGACGATGGTGATGATGATGATGGTGATGGTGATGGTGGTGATGATGATGGTGATGACGATGGTGATGATGATGATGATGGTGATGGTGATGGTGATGACGATGGTGATGATGATGATGATGGTGATGGTGATGGTGGTGATGATGATGGTGATGATGGTGATGGTGGTGATGATGATGATGGTGATGATAGCTTAAGCAAATAAAAAATTGACCATGTGCCAGGAAATTTGTTGTTTGGTACATATACACTAACTCAACTTTCATAGCAACTTTGAGAAAGTTATTACTTTACCCATTTCAAAATGAGGAAACTGAGGCATGAAAGTTGGAAACCTTGCCCACATCTTCATAGATGCTAAGTAGCCCAGATTAGACGTGAACTGAGGATACCTGGCGAAATATAACGTGCAAAATCCTAACCCGCGTGTCAGCATGGTAACTGAGTTCATGTTTTCCTGTCTGCTGTGGGCAAAATCAGATAGGAAGGGGGCACTGCTCTGAAAGCAGGACTGTTTTATCCTTTGAGTCCTTGGCTCCTGAAACATGAAAGTAGTTGGGAAATGTTCCTTCAAGTCACTCTGAGAAGAGATTTAAGGTGTAGCAGTCAGGGAGATTTTTGCTTTTGTCCAGGTGCCAGAGTACCCAGCATGCATTACCCCAGGCCAGGGGCCTTCCTGAAGAGCAGTACTTAATCAACATTAATGGACAGTAGTGATACTCAGAACTCCACACAGTTGATCATTTGGAGACTTCTTAGAAGCCTGGTGTGTGCCTCACACTTGATGCAAACAAAGTGGAAGATTCTGTTGGGAGAAGCCCACTCTAACTTTATCTGGGTCCAAGCAGTTCTGTGAGTGAGAAATCTCTGTACAAGCAAGATCTGCAGAAGAGAGAGCACCTATAAAGACCATCTGACTCCAGTACCTGATAGCTCTGAACCAATGTGCTGTGCCAGTCCTCTGCACCCTACCCTCGCCACTGGACTTTCTCTTTCCCCACAATGTTCTCCCCACCCTCCTCCATGAAGTACCCCGGTCTCTCTACTGTTCCCCCATTCCCTTCTATTTCCATAGCACTGTTCTCTGGAACTGCATCCTAGCACCAACATCCTTAGGCTGCTAAACTAACCATCTCTTTAGGGAATGAGTAAGCCAGGTCTTGGGAACAATGGGGACTGGGATGGTCTTGGCGTGCTAATGACTGGTGACTATTGCCTAATCGTCTTCTGACAGGCAATCAAAATTCTTTTAGTTCAGCATACTCCCTTATGAGACATATCATTTGGCACAATCGATTCCTTCTAGCATTTTGGAAGAGTATGCATATGTGCCTGCATACATGTGTGTGCACATGTGTGTGCCAGCTAACAACAGCTCTTTCTGGTGAGCCCTGCTTCCAAACTAAGAAACCAACAAAGAGGAAAAGAGATGATGTTCATGACATTGGTAGACAATTTACAGAGGTGCGAACACATTCTAGCAGACAGTGTGAGAAGGGGAAAAGCGAGAACTAGAGGGATCAAGAAGGCATAAAATCACCACCAGCTTTTGCTTGCATAGCTCCCAAGAGCATAAACCAAAACCTCCTCCCCACTAGAGCCCTAAGAACTATGCAGCTGAACCCATTATCTGAAGCAAAAAACTGAAACTCTGAGAGTTTTTGGCTTACTCTACATACTCTAGGTAGGACAACACACATGTAGAACCAGATCTGGACTTTCCCATGACCTTTCTCCTAACCTGGAGAAGAGATGCAAAGGCAGTAAGTAGACTGAGAACTGTTCCCATCCTTCTATTCCAAGGCTGCTCTATTGAGCCTGTGTAGCAGAAAAATGAGAGCATGGGCCCAAAGAAGTAAATGACGCTGCCCAAGTCAGACAGTCAGTTCCTAGGAATGCTCCAGTTTCTGAATCAAATTCACATTCTCTTTCCATGGCTCACTTTCAAGGCAACCCCATACTGCAGGAATCTTGTTCAACATTTCCTATGATGTCCTAGGATGGGGCATATTTAAAAACATGTGGGACAAAGGAATGAATCACACATCCTCACATTTACAAAACACAGACATGAATGAAGAGGGGAGGTGGCCCTAACCTCTGCAGGCACCGAGCATTGGTAGTGCTACATCTCACATAGATGTTGCTGGTAGATATTGGCTCCACTTTAAAGAAAAGACAACTTAGGTTCATAGAAGTTTTAACATGTACCTTGGGTCACTCAGCTGGCAACAGACGAGCCAGGCTTGTCTGGCTCCAGAGCATATGGCTCGAGACCTTGGCCTGCCTTTGCTACCTGCACCACCTACATATTCTCTGCCCCCCTTGGCACCAAGCCTCAAGTGGTGACCTTCCCTCCTCATGCTTTGCCCAGACTAACAAGCCCTCTTCTTTTCCCTCTCTCTTTCCATTTCTCCAGTTCACTTCTTCTCTTTCCCATAAGACCATCTAGTTGCCCTGGCAACTTGCTCCAAAGCCCACCCCACAGCAGTCAGGCTCTGGGACCCCAAAGATCTCAAGTCCCAAGTAGCTGCTCCAGATTCTGTTTTCAGTCTCCCCTGCCACTGGGGCAACTATCTTTCTTTCCTCTGCTCAGCTGGCTGGTGCTCAGCCCTGACCTCTCCTCCTCAGGGGTTGCTGCTGCTCCTTGGCTGCTGCCCTATCCAAGCACAAGCGGACGCACTGGTTCATTTGTAGGCGTGTATGTCTGTGTACATGTTTACGAACTTTGCCCTCAGGGAAACAACACTATTCCTCCATGTCTTAGGGACCTCTGGTGTGGGGCCCAGCAACACAGGGGTACCCCCAGCAGTGGAAACTGACAGCTTCCCAGAATATCTGCTCAGGGCCTCCCCCATACCCCATGCTGCTGCCAGGAGGCAAGCACAGCAGGGGCAGGTGTGGTGATGTTTGGAGAGCTTTTTGAGGGAAGGGACTGAGAAAGAATTAAGAGGAACATGCAATGACAAGCCACCCAGCCCTGCAGGGCTCTGCCAGGGCCGTGGGAGAAAGAAATTTCAGGGGAGTGGGGGAAGCTGAAGCTTGGGAGGAGTACAGGGGAGCCATAGACAATGGGGAGGCGGGGTGAGATGTTGAAAGTTTGCAGGCAGCTGAGGAGGGGCCAGGGCTTTTTAATGTAGGATGGAAAGGTGGAGAGCGAGGGGCAGCCCCATTGGAGACAGGCAGCAAAGAGGGCAGCCCCTAAGAGTCACTCTCAAGCAGTGTGAGAGCAGAACAGAGGCCAGAGAGGAGGGAACAAAAGAGGCATATGTAGAAGAGAGGTAGTAGGTGCTATCTCATTCTGAACTGTGGGGTCTCACTCTTGACTGCTCGCTTCTAGCTGTGTGACCCTAGACAGACCGCTGACCCTCTCTGAGCCTAAGTCTTTTCTTTTGTAAAATAAGAGCTATATCTACCATCCAAAGAAACTGCAGGATACAGGTGCTAAAGAGGATAAGGAGGGTAAATGCAGGACATGTAGAGAAAGAAGGCTCTCACCCTTGCATTTGGAAGGACCCAGAAGCGGAGATGATCAGCAAAAGTTTTGAAACAACCTCCTATTTCACTTGAAAATTATGAGATTGAGAAAGCTTAAATTCTTGAAAGGCCCCAGGGATTATAAAGCCCACAGCTTGTCATAGGAAAACTAAGGGTGCATCCCACAAAAGTGATGCTAGCAATACCTGCAGCAGAGGGAAGCCGGGACTAGACCCAAGGAGCCCTGGTTGAGGCTGCAGAACACCTGGTCTGTGGGGTGGGGCCAAGCTCCCCCAGACTCAGCACACTGGGCAGCCTAGAAGGTGGACTGCATCTTGTAGCCCCTAGAAGGCTTTTCAGGCTTGGGATTGGGACATCTGGAACTGACTGATTATGTTGAAGAACCCAACACCCCAAGTTCCCAGCCCAACCCTGCAACAAATCACCTCGATCAACTTGAAGAGGTCCAGTTTCCTGAACTGATTGGAAAGCTGATAAAAACAGGGCAGTGAGTCCAACAAAGCCATGGGAGCTGCTCTGACCTTGAAGAGAGGCTACAGAAGCACCTGACTCTTGAATTTGAAGATACCTCCTGGGCCTTTCAAAGGGCTAGGCAACAGAGCAGTGTTCTCAAGGCTTTTCCTTAGACCAAGAATTTACCACCCCAGACACACACATCTCGTCCAAAGTCAGATGGAGTTAGAATGGTACTGAGCCAATGGCTGCTCCTCTTGCTCATCATGCCCTGAGATAAAAATCTCTGCAGCTGAAAAGCTGATGGAATTATATTTAGATTTCCAGTGTGGCCCGCCCTGCCACAGCCTTCCAGGGGGGAGGAGCAGCTGGCAAAGCTCCCCTGGGATCATATTTGCTCCTGTCAGTCTCTGTCTGATGGATGATGGGACAGCTTCTCTTTCCCTCTGAATACCAGCCTTATGGGAAAGCACTGACCAGGCAGGATGGAGTATCCCATCAAGCCCTCACTGGGGTCTCCTAAGCCCTCTCACAGGGACAGTGGAAAGGACAAATGAGATAATGTATGCAGGCCATTTGCACAGTTTATAGAACTGCTTGTTGTTCTCATTGGGATGAGCTGAATGTGATGGTGCTTGGCCCTGGTGGGAGCCCTCACTGTCCATACCAGAAAACTCTTTGCTAGAGTCTTTTGATGCCTCTCGGTGCTAGACCCTGTTGCTCAGGTCCTAGAGAATTCCCTATTGCCTGGGACATAAACATACTGGTTCTAAGAGCCCTTCCTTGGTTGGCTCTTCTACCCTTCTTGTACTCCCACAGCCCTGCCCCAGAGTATCTCTCTGCCTGTAATCCTAGAACTGGAGCACAGGGTTCTTTCCTTCTGGTTTATGATACCCATTCCTTTCCGACTGAGATAGTCAAATCTTCTGGGGAGAAAAGGCAAGGCCATGTTTTCTGTGACAACCCCAACTCCCGCCCAAAAGAATGATGGGAAAGATGACCTATGACCGCTTAGTGCTTTTTCCCAGAGCCAACCTGGATTCCCTTCGAGCATCATACACATATGCGTGATCCCAGTCCACACCCTCTAATAGGTCTAGTGGTGTCAGAAAACTTGGATTTATTTGATGATCCTGGCTTGGTGTTTGGTCTCCCTTAGTCATTCCCTGGTGTCTGACCTTATCCTTCCCATTAAACAAACTGAGTAGAATTCCTTTTTGTCTCAGGCTCTCCCACATGGAAGTTCCAAGGAAACAGATGTGCAATGCCTCCATACATCTGCTTGAAACCTGATAACTCCCCAAGGGGCCTCTTCCATCTCAGCCCAACAGAAAGGCCTCTCACATGAAACCAAATCTGTTGTACTTCCCATCTGTCCACATGGGTCATCAGCAGGGACCAAACTCCTCTGCCTATTTCAAATTTCTTCCGCTAACTAGCCCATCTCCTCCATAGGCTTTTCTCCAGACTCTCCAACTATTCTACATGTAGCCAGGTCTTCTGAGGCCCACCACCACTGCCCTGGTCACTGTCTTCTGAATAAGCTCCTGTCTATTGCTGTCCCTGGCATTCAGGGCCCCCAGAGTGATCTGACTACAGAAGGCTTAAACAAGCCCTCTTCCTGGCTCTCCTCTTCCTGATTCCCACAGCTATCTCCAGCCGTCACCACACCCAGTTGACTAATGTGTTCTCACGGCAGCCGAACATTGTCAATCATTTTTATGCTCACTGCCATGTATCCACCTCTTCCCTGACTACTCCCAGGGCTCTTGGCTTTTTAAGGACGGGACATTGCTCCAGTGTTCCCTTTCTCTTTGTCCCTTGGGCAGCCCCTTTGCTATTTTCTTCCTTTTCCAGCCTGCTTCCAACAGGCCTGCTGCCAAGATAGGTAAGATGGGTAGAAACTTCTCAAAGAGAATGTTGGGTGTGCCTGGGAACACAACAGCTTATCAATATGGGTTGCTGTCATAGCTGAATGTGCCCAAGATCCAAATTCCATCTGTAGTCCTTTGTCGAATAAGAAACCAGGTCACAGCTTCTATGTGACTCCTTCACACTGACTCATCTTGCTTCATTTAAGCATCAAATAAAGCCTCCCTGACCCTCAAGTCTCTCTCAGTCAGCAGGCCTCAGTCCCTTGTCTCCTAGCTCTGTTTCTCCCACTCCACTGCTCCCTGTTGCTCACACTTCCAGTCTCTTACCTTTCAGCTTCCTGTCAGAAGGACCCCCTCCCTACCCCTACCCCGAGCTCCCAGACCCTACTTTCTCATCAAGCCTGATGCCATATTCCAGAATCCAGAAGCCTGCTCTGTTGTGCTGCCCTGGCTCCTGCTTCAGGTTCTGCTGCTCCCACTCTGGTGGCTCTGCTTGGGTCCTCAAGAGACCTTGATTCTACTCTCAGGCTGCAGGGTCCAGAGAGCCATACACTCTGTTTTTTCCTCCCTCTGAACTTTCCTACCCTTCATAATATATTGTTTGAGTTTCAGCACCTTTTGATTCAGAACCGTGGGGCAGGAAAGATGGCTCAGCAGTTAAGAGCACTGGCTGGTCTTGAAGAGAACTCAAGTTCAGTTCCCAGCACTCACATGGCGGCTAAAAACCATCTGTAACTCCAGTTCCAGGGGATCCAATGCCATCTTCTGACCTCCATGGGCATTGCACATATGGGTACACATATACAGGCAGACAAAACATTCATATATATAAAATAAAAATAAATAAATCAAAATTTTTTTTAATTTAGAACATGTTCAGCCAACATGGTATCCCAGTGCGTAAGCCACTGCCTGTCACACAATAATTCATTCTACCATGACTGTCAGGCCATATCAAATAGGAGCCTAGCAAATACCGTATTGAATAAATGTATGAATGTCTTTTGAATGATGAGAAACTTTAAAGATTGTGTTTGGGAGGCTTTTCAAAATTGTGTGCTACTTGTACAATAAAAAAATAATAAAAACAAACCAGGGGCTAGGATGATAGCTCCATAGGAAAGTATTTGCCTTATAAGCATGAAGACCTGAGTTGGATCCCTCAGAACCCACATTTTTAAAGTCAAGCAAGGTGATACACACTTATAAACCCAGCACTGGGTTAGACAAAGATAAATAAATGCCCAGGACTCACTGGCCAGACAGGCAGACTGGCCTAATTGGTGAGTTCCAGGCCAATGAGAGACCCTGTTAAAAAAAATAATAAATCCTTAATAATAATAATAAACCTTAATTTGCCAAATTTGAATAATTTCAAAGGCCAGATGAAATTGAAAAACAAATAACTCATCTCCTGACCACACAGTATATTGAGATCACAGAAAAATTTATTGTAGAAAAACCAGAAATGCCAAGCCTTTTAAGGTACAGCTTCCAACTAGGAAATGAAATCACAAGCATTCCCCAAGAGACCCCCCCCTGGAGAAACCTCCATACAGAATCATGGACTCTGGAGATTGTAGGGATTCAGCAAGCAAGTGAAAGGGACTCCAGAACTTGGGTGCAGAGCCACACTCCCTCTCTCATGGCTGTTCTTTGGCTGGCATTTTCCTTTTCCTGCCCCCCTCAGCACATCTCAAGTATCTTACATAAGATCATAGATTATAATTTAAATTGTTAGTCAAATTCTCACAAAGTGATCAGAGCCATAGAACACAGAGGGTAGAAGAGACCTAAGAGGTCTGGTAAAGAGCATTAAATTGCCTGAATAAACCCAGATAGCTTTCAGACTGGCTCAGGATTGGAAAGCTCCCAGATTCAAGTTAACACCTCACATTCCCTGGGCCCAGGCACCTGGATAGAATAGAGCTGTCCTGCAGGTGCCCTGGCCTTTAGGAAATTCTCAGCTGGGTCATTTGGAGCAGAGCTCAGGAAGGGGCTGATTCGGGGCTGCAGGAAGTGGGCAGGACAGAAACAGAGCTGGATTGCCCACATGCCCTCCCACCCCATCCAAGGACTTGAGTTCTCATGCCCACAAAAGCACCTCTGTGAACCCAGATCACCTAGGTCACACAAGCATGCTCCTAACCAGGACAACAAACCCACCGTTGCCATCATGATGAGGAAGCATATGAAACTAAGGAGCAAGGGGCTCGATGGCTTGGCGCAGAGGTGCCCCTTACCGAGCTGGCTTACCTTGCAATCAGCTTCTCCCCAGAGGGGTGACTTTGGAGCCCCCCCTCCCCCAGGGAGACGTGGGAATAGTTTGCTGGACTACCCAGTGGAAGAAAGGGGGCCTGGGATTGAGAACCTTAATGGAGTTGGCATCAACCTTGTGACCGTCCTTCAAGCTGGTTTTCACCATTGCTTAATAAGACCCTGGAGTGTCAGTCAGGACAGGAGCAGGACCAGCAGAGGGAACCTGAGTGAGGATGTGTCTGACTGTAACTCTGGCCGCAAGTCAGGCCCCTCCAAAGAGAGAGCGGCTACATCCACCCTGCTTCCCTACCTAGAGTCCCAGGGACCAGGAAGCGAGCTGAGACCCAAAGAAAAAAAGGACCGAGAGGGCGTGGGGGGACGCGACAGGAGAGACGCCAGTGCAGCGTCGCCTCTACTCCACCACGCGCCTGCGCGAGCTGTGGGTGGAGGTCCGCACGAAGTGCGTGCGCGACGAGCCGCCGCCGCTCCGGCCGCCGTACTTGCTGCTGCTTTTGCTGCTGCTTCCTCCGTAGCTGCCGCCGCCGCCGCCCCCTCGGGAGCTCGCTCCCCCTCCGTAACTTCCGCCGCCGCCCCCCCCGGGGCGTCCCCCCCCCCCCCGCCGCTGAACCCTCCGGGCCCCCCGCCGCTCCGGCCGCCGTCCTTGCTGCTGCTTTTGCTGCTGCTTCCTCCGTCGCTGCCGCCGCCGCCGCCCCCTCGGGAGCTCGCTCCCCCTCCGTAACTTCCGCCGCCGCTGTAGCCGCCGCCGCCGCCGCTGTAACCTCCGGAGCCTCCGCCGCTGCCGCCCCCGTAGCCACCGCCGCCGCCGCTGTAACCTCCGGAGCCTCCGCCGCTGCCGCCGCCGTAGCCACCGCCACCGCCGCCGCCGACGGTCACTTGGCTGCTCTGCACCGCTGTAGGGGTTGAGGGACACGGCACAGGGAGGTCAGAAGGACCTGGCAGGCCACCTGCAGCCCCCACGTCCGCCATCACTGATGACCTCCCGTTTTGCAAACAGAGGCATTCAAAGTCAAAAGTATTCCTACTTCAGACTGTAGAAGGATGCAGGCATTCATTTAAGTAAAATGTGCCTTTAAAAAAAAGACAGACGTGGTCCTTTTTTAATACTTATTGAATATATATATATATATATCCTCTATATCTATCCTCTAGTCAGTGTTAATGATGAGGTATCACGAACAATAAGTGGGCTTCTTTGTATAAGGCCGGAAAACAAAATGCCAGATTCCAACCCAGCCTACCCTCTGCCCAGCACTAACCAGCCTCTCTGTTCCTGGACCCTGCTACTTACAGATGCTCACGTGGTTCTGCAGCTCTCCCGACATCCTGTAAAAATCAAAGCACAGCCATCAACCATAGGAGCAGAAATGTTGATGTGAGGTGAGAGCTGTCCCCAAGCTCAGCAATTTTATGAAGCCTTTTAGCATTGCGAGCCGCATCTGGCTGCAATATCTTAGGTTTGAGGTACAGGGACATGGTGCTTGTGGGAAGAGGTAAGGTAGCAATGACTTCTCCCGTACCCTGTTAACCTACATATGCTAGCGAATATTTCTGCTCACCCTAGACCCATCAGAGAAGATCTTCCTCTCTCCACATAGTTCCATTGCTCCATAGATATATCTACAGCCCTGGCCCACAGAACACCTCTGCTATACACTCACCTGCTTTCCTCACCCTCTAGCAGCTTGCAGTAGGTGGCAATCTCCACATCCAGGGACAACTTGGCCCCCAGCATTGCCTGATAGTCTCGAAGAAGACGGGCCAGCTCCTCCTTGGACTGCTGTAAGGCCTCATCCAGGTCCTGCAGCTTCTGCTTCGCATCCTGGAGAGCCCTCTCTCCTCTCTCCTCTGCATCGGAAATGGACCCATGCATCTGTTCAATCTATGCCAAAGACAGGTGGAGAACCACTTAGGTGTTGAGTTTTGTGAATCCAACATTATGAGAACTGGTGTGTCTTGTAGCCCACCCTGAGCACCCATCCCACCTGCTTCTTGACGCTGGCTATCTCCGCCTGCAGCCTCTGGGTGTTGCGGTTGAGCTCAGAAATCTCCATCTTGGTGTTCTTCAGATCATCCCCATGTCTCCCTGCGGTGATCTGCAGCTCCTGGTACTGTGGGTCAGAGGCAGCACCATGGTCAGCACCTGCAGCCCACCAGGACCTCCTCCAGAAGGATCTGGGCTGCTCTCCCCCCAGAGGTTCCAGAGTAAGGCCATCTGGAGCTATAGTACTGCATACTCACACCCATCCTAAACCTTCCTCACCTGAACTGCAAAAATACAGTTCCAGAGTAAGGCCATCTGGAGCTATAGTACTGCATACTCACACCCATCCCAAACATGTGTGTACATGTGTGTACACACACACACACACACACACACACACACGCACATACACACGCGCGCCTTCTTCACGTGTGTGTGTACACACACACACACACACACACACACACACACACATACACACGTGCGCCTTCTTCATTTCCACCAGTCTGTAAGCAAGCTTATATCCCACCCAGACAAACCTGCTTAATAATGCCCTTTTACCTCCTTTTTCAACCTCATAGGTCTTCATACAGTGCTTGCCCACACTGAGACCCTCTTACTCTCCCAACCGACCCATATTCCTTCTTCTCCCTTCTTCCCCCACAGGCAGGAATTCGTGGCCTCAGAAGCCCTCAATGTCCATTTCTTTCTCTCTCTCCTACACATAGGTCATGGTCAGGGGAGAGTTGACTGGAGAGAATGTACATTCTGACAAAAATATCTGCCTCCCCAGTCTCATGCCCAAATCCATTGCATCCCAGAACACCTATTTTCAGATCATAAGCATACTGGAGCTGGCCACAAAACCCACAAAGCAAATCAAGTTCCAGTTACTCAGAATTCGGTGACTGGGCTGTCAGCTTTATGTCCATTCAACTACAGAATCTTTACCATCCAAAATGTGAATTTATGGCCAAGAAGTAACCAAAGATGGGCCCAAAGGCATAGCCACAAATGTTTATCTAATAAGTTGCCATAATGCTAAGAATCTTGTAAGATATTTAGTGTCACAGAAAGACGTTTCTAAGTGATAAGTAAAAAAGGAAAGTAGAAAACTAAAAACAGATACCATTATGAGAAAGCAAAAATAAACACTGTAGTGGTTAAGAGCATAACTTTGTAAACAACATACATGAGTTTAATTGGGGTCTAGTGGCAGTTTCTAGGCACAAGCCTTAGGAAAACGGAGAAGTCTGAGTTCTCTGTATTAGCTACAATGAACAGATAGAAACTATCTGAACACATTCAGAGTGGTGGGGGAGGAGAGATGGGTAATCCTTAGCCAGAATTTCTGGACTCATTACCATAGATGTGTTACACTCTGAAATTAGTGCCTGTTCTGGGAAGCACCTATGTATTTGGGGATGCAGTCCCAGGACCCAAGCTCACCTTGGTTTGGTACAGCGCCTCAGCCTCCTCCTTGCTCTTCTGTGCAATTAAATCATATTGGAAACGCACTGCATCGATGATGCTCTCCAGGTCCAGGGAGCGGTTGTTGTCCATGGACAGGATGACGTTGGTGTCACTGATGTGAGTCTGCATCTGGGACAGCTCCTATGAGACATGGGTCACAGCTGACTCCTTCCACTCCCCTCCCAGAGCCCCAATCTCCCCCTGCTGCTCCCTCAAGACTTTCTGAAACTCCTGTGTTGGATTAACAATTGGTTGGTCTAGGTGGTTTATATTTGGGTTGTATCTAGGGATTTGTTAACTAACAATGGGGCTACAAGGGACGCTTGAGAGAAATTTCTTTGAATTATAACATAATGGGAGAGTCTTAAGTGTCTCAGCTAAAGGAAATGGGGCCCAGGCGTAGCTTCTGGACAGGAAGAAGGAGCCCTGTGACTTCCTTCCCCATAATGTCTATCCTGCACCTTCTATCCCAGCCTTGCTCTGGTTTGGCTGCTGTCTTGAGCTGACCTTCTGACACACACACACAGCAGCTCCTTGTAATGATAAGAGCTCTCAGAGGCAGTGGAAAGGACTCCAGTTGTGGAGCCACTTGACTAGCAGGTTGACCAAGCAAATAATTTAATCTCTCAAGTCCTGTTTTCTCTTCTGTAGTGTGGACATCTCCATAAGTAGAGCTTCTACCCCAGCAACAAGCCCAGAGCAGGTACCCCCAAGGTAGACACAGGTGGCAGGTGGAACACACTGCCCTGTGCCCATCCAGTCTCTCATCACCACAAAAATCCCTATTATCATCATCTACAGAATTCTTTCACAGCCCCATGGACTCCCCGGAGTGTATGAAGAACTCCACACCTTATGTTTTGGTGTCAACCTCATGTCCCAGATGGACTGAGTGCATGAAGCAGGGACTATATACTTTCTCTTATCCTTGGGACTCTCGCTGCCCCTCACATCTCCTCTGCCCCTACCAGAACCCTTGAGGTTGAGGGATAGCTGAGCTGATGCTCAGAGTTGGAGGACTAGAGAGCTTAGCCCCTAGTGGGTAGTGATACGCTTCAGGCCTCCCCACTTCCAGCCCCCTCAGGGCTGAACTCACTTTGTCAAATAGGTATTTCAGGAAGTTGATGTCCCCTTGCAGCGTGTCCACTTTGGACTGCAGGTCTGATTTGCCCATGAAAGCAGCATCCACATCCTGAGCAGCAAGCAGAGATGGTTTGTCTTTATCACCCAGGCATTTCCTGCCATCAGCATCCTGAGTAGCCCCGGACCAGTGGCAAAGACTCTGGGTTTACTTCCTGACCTAAAAATGTCATCACTTCACTCAAATCAGGGACCTGAAAACTGACTTTCCTGGGCTGGTTACAACAGTACCCTCCACACCTGGGTTAGCCACACTCCACACCCCAGGTTCCTTCTCAGGTCCCAAGAAGCTGTCCGTTAATTTCCGTTTCTGAAGCCTGAAGGATTCCCAGAGCCACATCAGTGTCGCTTTGACTTCCTTTCAGTGTTAAGAGTCCACATTTGGACAACACACAAGGTATGTTGGCCCCAGAGGTCGTACTGTCTATAGCACAAAACAGCCCCTTGGGGTTTTCCCCACCCTACCCAATCCCCATGGCCACAGCCCCTCCAAACTCTCCTCTCCCCCACCTTCTTTGTGACAACGAAGTCGTTCTCAGCATTGGTTCGCTTGTTGATTTCGTCCTCATACCTGTGAGGGAGGCAAGAAACGGGCAGGCTGCAAAGGCTGACCTCACTTCATGAGGCTTCACCTCCCAGCGCAAAGTCTCAACTTTCCTAAGCACCATCCTTGACTCAGAAAACCCTGCTTACACTATTGTTCCCTGCCAGGACCTGATGCCAGGGCCTCACTGATGAACGGATAGACATAGATCTCAACTCTCCAAGCCAACAGTAGGGACAGGACCTGACATAGAAAACCCAGAGCCACATAAAATACCCCCCAAATGTCCATACTTGTTCTGATGTTGTATTTTTTTAATGTGTCACTCAATTGTTGTTTTCCATTAAGATCTTAAAGTAGTAAGTACTTTTACTAGCTCTTTTAAGAGAAAAATATTTCACCTGCAATTCTGCCCCCACCCCCAGCATCCCATGTGAGTTTTATTGTGGCCTGCTGATTCACATATGTGACCCTCCATGGCCCAACACAGGAAGTATGTCAAGGTACTGTCAAGAGAAACACCTGCACCCCTTGAGGAAGAAGAGTGTGGAAGGAGGCCTCAGGAGCTTACAGTAGCCTCAGGAGCAGCTGCTCTGGAATGCAACTCTTGTCCCCCGCCATTATTACCAGTCTTTGCTGCTGCAATACTAAGAACTATGAAGTATAATTTATCTCAACCAGTGGTGCTCGGTGTGGTCCTCAATCCACCAGCATTAACATTACTTAGAAGCATGCTAGAGATGCAAATGCTTTGGCCACGTCCCAGACCTGCTTGATCAGAACCACGGGGGTGAGGAAAAAGAGTCTGATCTCAGCAAGGTGATGCTAAAGTTTGAGAACCACAGATCTACTCGGCATTCAACAAGGAGGGTGTGCTCTAGATAGATGAATATGGAGGCAGGACTTACTTCCTCCAGCAGACAGAGCTTTCCTGCCTTTCTCTGCTCAATAGGATTGACAGCTGGCTGTCACTGCTATCCCACCAGGACTATCACCTATAAAATAGTGCCCCCGCAGTTGTATAGTGCACAGCCCACACAACTGCCCTTGCTGACTCTGGTCCCACATCTCACACATAAACTTTGCAGCAGATGATCTTGCCCTAGTGAAGCAGGCCCCTGCTGTGCTTCCCCTTGACCTCTTTGCCTGGATCCTCACTTGCTCTTGTAGTCCTCCACAACATCCTGTATGCTTCTGATCTCTGAGTTTTGGCGCATCTGTTCAGTGTTCAGAAGATCCACCTCCCTCCGCAGATCACTGATGTAGGCCTCAAATAGGGGCTCCAGACTGCTGGTCCGGGTAGAAGTGTTCACCTGCTGCAGCAGCTCCCATTTTGTTTGTAGCACCTGGTTCTGCTGCTCCAGGAAGCGCACCTGAAAGCCAATATTCCAGTACACCCCAGGCCAGGAGTCAGAGCGGCTTTCCACATGGGAAGGGGAATCGGGGGCCTTAAGCACAGAGACCTCAGAGATTCAAGATGGTCCCTCCAGGCATCAGGAGAGGCAGTGTGGTTTCTGATGGTCACCAATGGTTCTAAGGTGGTCACCTAGTCTAAATTAACGCCGTGGCTTTGAACTTACATCACCTCCAGCTGAGTGCCTGTTTCATTTAGATACAACCCCTTACATCACAAAAATCTCATCCCACATTCAATTTATCCATGTCAACGTATGCAAATGGTATTTTGGAACATCCAAAGCCCTCAAAATCCAAGGCTCCTTTGTCTTTATGAGTGGCATGGACTACGTGATTGAGGACAGGAAGACATAGGAGAGATATAACAACTGGCCTTGGAATATCACAACTGATTCCTGAGCAGGCTTGTGTGTGCACCCCCTACAACCACCACCACCTCCACTGCCTGCCCGTGTGGTTTAAAGAGGGCAACCTCGTTTAAATGTTTTTATAACCCAGCCACATTTTAAATTTTTTATTTTTATTTTATGTATCTGAGTGTTTTGCCTGCATGTGTGTAAGTGCACCTATGTGTGCAGTGCCCACGGAAGGCAGAAGACATTAGATCCCCCAGAACTGGAGTTACAGTTGGTATTAGCTGCTGTATGGACACTGGGAACCGAACCTGAGTCTTGTGCAAGAGTAGTCTGTTCTCTTAACTGCTGAGCCATCTCTCCACCCACCCCAAACCACAATTTTAAAAATAAGTGCTTTCATTTTTCAAATTTTCTATAATGTATTCAAGTACCCCAAAGTAAGAACTTCAGGCCCACAAATATGTGGAAAACGCTTAAGTTGCTATTTCCTTTGCTAGCCCAGAAAACAAATGAAAGACACAGCCCTGTATTCTCACTGCTTCTCCACAAACTGTGGATACAAAGGTTAAATAGGGAGAGGGGCTGGCTTTGCAGACCAAGTTCATAAATGGCCCTTCGCATCACAGTGCTCTCTCTTGCATCCCTCTGCCAGCTGCCCACAGGTGGAGACTGTTCTCCCAAGCACGGATAGAAATGACTACGCTGCTTTTGTGCTTCGCTCAAGCACATGCATGTATACGCACACCTACTCATGCATACACATCTTACATAAGAAAACATGCATCACATATATTCACATACACATGTTCACATGCACAAATGTTCACATACAAACATTCACATCCACATACATGCGTACATATTCACATTCACATCCACATAGTCACACACTCGCATGCACACAAATGCACATACACACATATCTACAATCACATCCCCATTCAAAAATATTCACAAACACATTCATTCATATATACATATCTGCACAGACACAAACAGATTCCTCCAAACTCCAGCTGCCTTATCCAGGATCTGTGAAAGGGGAAAACACTGCTTTGTGAGGGAGTACCCTATAGACACTGCCCTATGACAGGGCACTGAGATAGGCACCTAGAATTCCCCAACCTCTGAGACTCTGCCTAAGGAGCTGTCAAGTCCTTTTTGATTCAAATGAGAAGAAATCTATGCAGAGAACCCTGTTTTCTCCACTCATCATGGCTGGTTTTATCACAGAGAATAGTTGGGCAATCAGCTCTCAGAGCAGATGTGTCAGTGCAGCTGTGGTCCTCCCATGAAGACTTCCTGCCACTATCTATTTTTGTTCTGTGATGACACTCCCAGAGGGGTGGGAAAATCAGTTCTACGTTCCATCACAACCGCGTGTTTGGTGACAGTGACGCGGGTATGGAGCCTTATCAGATTGTAGTTGTTAGTCCAAAACAACACAAGAAACCAAGAGAGGGTTAGTACAGCACAGACGTTGTGCTTCTTAAAGAACGGCTCTGCCGTCATGTTGCAAATGCTGAGCTTGACTAAGAGGAAGACAAGAAGACCAGCTGGAAACCAGGTAAGAATCATGGCAACAAAAGCATTCTTTCTTCTAGACCAGAGCCTGCCTGGCTGAGGAACCCTCCGCATAGTCATCACAGACTATGTTCGCAATGGAGGACAGGAAGCCAGCATCTCCTGCACCTTGGGCCTCTACTGTTAACTGGCTGAGCCCCTGTTGAAGACCAGAGCCTTGGTCCAATGAGAGTCCCACACTGATTTCCAGAAGCCTGTGGTATTTCGCTGATGCCAGCCCCTTTGTTCCCTGCTCCTTCCCTGGCCCACCCTTGACTTCTGGTACCATCTCCTTTTCTGACAAGTCCCTGTTCCAGTCAAACCGCCATCCCCTGCCTATACCTGAGGCTTTATAATGTTCAGCCAGGTGAGCAGAAGTAACCACAAGTTGGGACTGGAGAGATAGCTCAGTGGTTAAGAGCACTGGCTTCTCTTGTAGAAAACTCAGGTTTGGTTCCCAGCACCCACATGGCAGGTAACAACTATCTGTAACTCCATTTCCAGAAGATCTGATGCCCTCTTCTGACCTCCGAGGGCATTGCACTCATGTGGTATACTCACATACATGCAGGCAAAACACTCATATACATAAAATAAAAATAAACAAATCACAAACTTTAAAAGAGGTAGCCACAGCGCGTGATCTGTCTAGCTCCTTTGGGGACGTCCATGGCCCTGACCCTCTGCATCCTTCTTCTGCTCACACAGTATCCTATCTCCATCACTTGCCCCAATATCAGGAAGTGTCCATTGTGCCTTCCTCTAAACAGAGAAAGTGCCAGAAGGTTTTTACCATAGCTGTCTGCCAGCCTCTGCCCAGGGACTTGAGCATGAAGCAAACTTCGCCCCTACAAAGTCTAAGCAGTGAGCTAGGGTGAGGGGTTTCCAGGTTCCTGCCGGCTCTTTGTTGGTCCCAGATGGGGGAAAGAGGTAAAGGACAATTCTGACAGAATGCCACAATGTACATTACTAACCTTGGCTCCCAGGAGACCCATGCACCTGGGCGTGCCCCGGGCCCTGCCAGCAGCTTCCCAGCTTCCCAGCTTCCACAGCTATGTCACTTCTTCTGCCATTTTTCCCACAAATTTTAACCATTTGAAATTCCATAGGTATCACACTTTTATGCCTCCTGATCTTTCTGCCTAGAAATTTCCTCTGCCCTGAGAGCTGTTTGGTTCTTCTTCCAGCTTTAAATTTTGGATAAGATCTGGGGTCACTCAGCGAAGCCCTCAGGAATCCAACAAGCACGGCTCATGGCAACTTCCCTTGAGCTAACGTGACCCAAAGAGTACCACACCTACTGATGCATTCTTCATACACTGTCATAATTTTTCTGCTCTTCAGCTTAGGGCTCCTTAGGGGCATAACTTGTGTCCTAGCTACTCCTATAGCACCTGAGTACAGTGGCATATAGTAGATACCTAGTAAAATATTTGTAGGCTGAATGGGAGGTGGGACAAATAGGGGTAGACTGGAAAATAGGTGAAATGGGTAGAATGATGGGCAGGTGAGTATATAGTAGGGAATGCATACAAGCATAAATTGGCATATGTGTCTCTGTGGGGGGAAGGATGGGGAGATAGATGGATGAATGAATGTGGATGGGTGGGTGGATGATGGATAGATATAGATAGGTAGATGAATATAATAGGTTTGTGAATGGATGATAGATGGGTGGATGATAAATGGGTGTATGTGGATGGGTGGATAAGTGGAAGGATGGATGGATGGATGGATGGATGGATGGATGGATGGAGATAGGTAGATGGATATGGATAGGTGGGTGAATGGATGATAGATGGATGGATGTAGATGAATGGATGATGGATGGATGTGTGTGGAGTGTGTGGATAGCAGATAATGGATGGATGTGTGTGGATGGCAGATAATGGATGGATAGCTGTGTGTGGATGGATGGATAGAGGTAAGTAGGCAGGTGGGTGGATGGATAGATATATGGATATGGATGGTGGTAGAAAGATGAATGTGTGTGTATGGCTAGGTGACTGGATGGATGCATGGGAAGTGGATGAGTGAGGTTATTATACTATGCAGCTGTTAGGTTACCTTCACACCCCTTCTCTTCTTTCCTGCTAAAGGAAAACATTAAAAAATGTATCCCTAAGAAGCCTAAATCAGTAAAATGTTTTCCTGGGGTCCCAGTACATACACAAAAGGAAGTGACTATTATCATCAAACTGAAATAGCACAATAGCAACAGACAACAGCAGAGTGCCAGTTCCTCTTGCTTATTTGGCCGGTGGCCAAAGACTCTACCTGCCCCTAAGGTACTCACCTTATCAATGAAGGCAGCAAACTTGTTGTTGAGAAACTTGATCTGTTCCCGTTCCTGCGTTTTAACTCTCTGAATTTCAGGGTCCACCTCCAGATGAAGGGGCTCCAGCAGGCTCTGGTTAATAGTCACCTCATGGATGCCCCCCGGGGGATAAGAAGGACCAAAACCTCCAAGCCCAAAATTGCTAGGCCCAAATCCACGACCCCCATAGCCACTTCCAAATCTGCCACCCCCGAGGCCACCACCTCCAAATCCACCCCCCACAAAACTTCTGCCTGCTCCAAACCCTCCTCCTGCTCCCCGACTCTGGCAGAAACCACTGGCGCTTCTTCCAACTAGGCTTCCAAAGATGCTTTTACTGCCACCCAGATTGTAGAGGCTCCTAGAACCAAACGCTGCTCCATAGCCACCACCACCATACCTCCCCCGGGCATGACACACAGACCCCACAGTCCGACTCCCACCTCCAAAGCCTGAGGCGGACCTGTTGCTATAGGCCCGCCTGCTTCTTGAGCTAAATGCAGACTGAGAACTAAACTGGTGACTCATGGTTGCTGAAGCAACCAGAGGCACAGGTAGCAAGGGCCCAGCTGGAAGGAGGCAAAGAGCAAGGAGAGAAAGAGCTGTGACTCTCTTGGAAGGGATCTGGCTCAGTTCCTATATATACACACACCTGCTGGGCTGGGTACCTTCCGAACCCTGGGAGGGGAGCATTAATGTTTAGTTTGCCTGCCAGTAACATCTGCTTAAAACCTCATACCTATGTGTTGCTGAAATTACTTGCAAACAAACTTCCCCAACCCGATCATTTTATCATTCATCTCTTGCTCCTGGGAGATCGAAGTACAGTAATCTCAGGATCTCAGTTGTTGGAAACTCCTGTGAAGTTTCTCCCCAAATCACAGATTGGTCTCTTCTTAAGAAGCTCCATCATGGGGTTGTTTCTTTGGGGGTGTGTCTGAGAGATATGGGGCAAAATGGAGGTGGCTAGGAAACTTAGGACCACAGCAGGGTGACAAGTGCACACACTAGCTGCCACATAGTGCCATCCTCGTGCGCAAAAGCTGTTTTTGATTTGTGTCAACAAAATCTTTTATTGAGCCTCTACCAATATTTAATAATGTCTTCTACACCTGGCGATATTCCCAAGTATTTTTCCTGTTTCATCATTTCTAAACTGACATAGACAATATTTTTGTAAAATAAAATGACTCATAATCTAAGGGAAATTTAAAGAGCAAAGATAAAACATACACTCTAACTGATTTTTAGGATTATTTTTAGGTTCAGTCAGCATAAAACTGTTATGCTGAAAATAACAGGAACGCTAAAAAGCTTCTAAGTGGTCACACTGAGTTCTGTACTTATAAGGGAAGCGGCCAAGTGTCCAGCCACCAACAACAGCCTGCGCTCACTCTCCGAGAAGCACTGTCCCAAACAGCAGGCTTAGGGTAAAGTTCATTCAATGTGTGTCAGTGTCCACTAGCATAAGTGTGTGTTGGCCTCTGGACACAAGTAGCTGGTGGATTTCCTCCAAAATGTAATAATAATTGTTTTAAACAGAAGAGAAAGAAACCCTAAATGCCCAACTTCAGAGAAATGACTAGGTGATGGTTTACCCACTTACACACAATGCTTTAAAACCAGCAGCCTGAAAAACCAGACCAAGAAAATGTCAGGATATATTGTTGCAGTGGGTCTATGCAGGTGAGGCAAACTCACAGGTAACAGAAAATGATTGTGAGACAATTTCTCCTAGGATTTCAAATGTCCTTTTACTTTGTCTTCATGCAACAAGTAGGTTTTGGGGAGCAGTAGTTGGGGCTGAAATCTCAAGTTCCCCAAAGTTGGGGCAGAATCCCAATCAAAGTAAGAAAGGCTAGGTAGTCTGCAAAAGCCAGAGAGGGGGCTTGGAAAAGCCGTGGGCAGAAGCACCCTGGGGCTAGGACAGTCTTGAGGGCAGCTGCAGGGCTCCATGCCTTCTGATCACCCTCCTGGGTGCTCTGAAAAGGGAATTATTTAGTGGGTCATCTCCAGGGACCACTGTGGGAGGGAAAAAAGAGCATGAGCCTGACATCTGGGGACAAAAGCACTCGTCTCAGCCCTCACCCTGCTTCCTCTTGCTCCAGAGCTACGGATGCGGCTGTCTTGTCTTTCCAGGGCTCCACACCTTAAGACATGTGAGGCACAGCACAGCAATATCCTCAGCAAGCACGGCCATAGCTGTGCCCCGTGACAACCGTTCCACGTTATCTGTGATTTTCAACTTCTGTTGGGACAGTCCTGGCAAGTCAGAACAGTTGGTCACTGGAGTCCTGGGCACCTTTGACCTACACACAGCCCTATTCCTAATCTTGATACCTTTGGGGACTTGAGGTAGAACAGTGAAACCAGATCCCCCTACCCCTGTTCAAAGATAAGAATAAACCAATAATAGCAGAGGACAGAAAGAAAGCGGCACTCTAGAACTGAACAGATAAGCACGAAAAAGTTTCCCAAAGGCCAGGATTCTGAGTCAAGCAGAGGCAGAAGCAGGGAAAATGGGAGAAAGGATGTGGGTCCCACACAGGTGGCAACAATGGTTGATGAAAAGATCATTGAGTTGAGCATCTTACAACTCGGCTTTGAATCCTGGCTGGGGGGTTAGACACCTGCCTCCTCAAATCTCAGTTGCAGGCTCTGAAACAACAGTAACACCAGCAGCATAGGTGACGCTAATGATGACTACTCAAGTACAAGGAGTAGCTGTCCACTCCTAGTAATCCCATGAATGGGTCTCCTTCCCCTAACAACTTCGGGAAGTTTTCCCTAGAGACTCCAGACCATGTGAGCCCCTCTCACTGCTGTGATGGTTCCCTGTACTGCTTGTTCACGTCTCTCTCTCTTCACCTCCATCTCCACACCCAACTAAATAAATAGGAAACTCCTTGATATTAAGACCAAACATGGCCCAGGAGCCCCTCCCTGAGAAGTGTCCACCAGATGCTGGCAGAGTCCTGTCACCTTGAATGAGAGTGCAGACTGACACATAGATGTTTTGGAAAACCAAGAGCTTGGGCCCCACATTGAGCAGCTTCCTGAGCCGAAGCCAGCCCTACCATATCCTGGCTCCGTGACTATCCTATTTACTAATTCCTCATTCCCCCTCCCCATTTCTCCCTGCCTACTACCAACAAATGTTGTCCTTAAAAGGAAAGTGGGGAGTCAGCTTGTCCCCACCTGACTCCCAGATAATCAAACCCAAGGGTGCCAAGAGGGTGAGGCCCTGAGTGACTATCAGCCACCAGGATCACAGTCTCAGCAGCAGCTGGGGGCAGGGTTCAAGAGGAGCTGCTGATGTAGCCAGCAGAAGCACCCCCAGAGAAATGCTCCCCATCTCACCCAGCATCTCCCAGGGACTGAGGGTGGATCCGTCAGGGGTGGAGCAGAGCAAGGAGAGAGGAAGAATCTCGCTCGCCAGCCCCCACCCAGAGAGCAGAACTGGGGTGTAGATATGAGGCCTTTGCTAGCTTTCAAATTGGAATTTTTTGACTGACAATCAGCAGAAGGAAAGCCGCGAGGTGGTACAGATGGGGAGAGAAGGTCCTGGACTGAACAGAAGCTTCAACCTTGGCTTCCCATCCAGCCTGTACCGCTTCTCCCTGTGTGTCAAAACCGGATATGCAATAGAGACTGCCAGGCTGGTGGCTTCGTGTCATAGGAGGAAGGGGGTACAGAGAGGACATGGTCCAAATTACAGAGAAGGATGGTGGTACAGCTTGGACTACAGCTCAGATGTCCTCCCTCACAACCCACAAAGAACAGAGAGGCCAACCAGGAAGTCCCAGCAGCCATTGCTCCTACAGTCTTGGAGACAGGCAGGTGGAAGGCCCTGTGACTAGAAATGGGAAGGTGGTTTCCTGCACATGGGAACAACCCTGGGGAACCTTCCTGATTTCTGTGTTAGGGTGGGTGTTGGGGTATCAACTAAAGCCCCAAAGCATCCAACGCCTCACCTTTGGCACCCCTTTGACTAGAACCCCAGGACCAGCCGGGGAACAACGTCCCAAGCAGTCTCTTCTCACCTTGTGAACTCTATCAAGCGCTCTTGGCCCCAGGAGTCCCCATGAGGCCTCAGTGCGGCTCTGAAGATTCCCATGGGGAAGGTCCAGAGAAAATATTGTTCCAGACGCAGGAAAGCTCTTCATCCAATGTGCTGGACACCCTGCCTGTTTAAACATCCTTCACTAAGGCTGGTAGCCATCTCTTGTCCCTAAGGCAAAGGGAGCAGCTGGGTAGGTGTGGGCCCAAAGGAAAATAAGGCTGTGGGTTACACCTGAACTGAATTCCAAGAGAAACAGTGGGGTCCCAGCTATGGATCACGGTTGTCGGGGCAGACAGCACTTTGATACATTAAATCAAGAGGGAGCCAGGAGAGACCCAAGGTTGTAAAGCTAGTTGCTTGGGGGTTCAGAATTCTGAATCCCTAAGGAGAAATATGCATCCTTTGTAAATTCCAAGTTCATGTACCACCTTGCCCATGTTGGAGAAAGTACAGCACTATACAAACATTTATAAAGAAATAACAATTTATTTTTCTTCCCTCCATTTAAAGAATAAGCAGATTCCTGAAACACTAACCATAAGCAATAATGACTCTTTGTTGGCATCTTACAATGTGCTAGGAGCTTGACAGATGGCATAGTTTGAGTCACACAACCGTATTTTGGGGGGAGGAGAAGTGTATACATGTTTATTCAGCCATGCATACGTGTAGCCACCAGAGGTTGATGTCAAGTATCGTCCTCTGCCACTCTCCACCTTATTTTGGGGGGCAGAGTCTCTCACTGAACCTGGAGCTCGCCATTTCTGCTATATTGGCTGGCCATCATGCCCTCATGATCCATCCATCTCCACACCCCCATCACTTGGGTTACAGACTCTTGTTACCACTCTTGGCTTTCTGTGTGGGTGCTGGGATCTGAACTCAGGTCCTCATACTTGCATAGCAAGCACTTTACCCACTGAGCCATCTCCTCAGCCCCCACTTTTTTTTTGAGAGAAAGAGTGGGGTTTCACATAACCCAAGTTGACCTCACACTTTCTATGTAGCCAAAAATGGTCTTGAATTTCTGATCCTTCTGCATCCACTTGCTGAGTGGCGTGACCAGCATGCCTGATTTATGCAGTCTAAGGATCAAAACAAGCTTCATTCATGCTAAGCAGGCACTCCACTAAATGAGCCACATCCTCAGTCACTCAACCACATTTTATGATGACTTTCAGTTGTAGGTTGGGGTGACCACACAGTCAACTACACAGCTTAAAGTCTGACCCCAAATCTCACCTGGGCAGCCTGATTATAAAGTCTGAGACCTTGCCACAGGACATTACTTTCTGCTTTGAGGGGTGAGTTTTGGGAACTCAACTGCTGGAATTTGAGTCTTGGATCCCCCCATACGAGCAGTATGACCCGCCACAAGTTCATTCAGTTCATCTGTCTCTCTGTGTTTCTGTTCCTTATTTGTAAAACCTAGGTAATAGCACTGGCCTGGGAAGATTGGAGGAAT